TCTATCTATCTATCTATCTATCTATCTGTGTATGTCTGTCTGTCTATCCATCTATCTATCTATCTATCTATCTATCTATCTATCTATCTATCTATCTATCTATCTATCTATCTATCTATCTATCTGTCTGTCTGTCTGTCTGTCTGTCAATTCCTTCATCTGTCTGTCCATCTGTCCGTCCATCTATATCGTTCTATCTATCTATCTATCTATCTATCTATCTATCTATCTATCTATCTATCTATCTATCTATCTATCTATCTATCTATCTATCTATCTATCTATCTAATGTGTGTCTATCTGTCTGTCCATCTATTCATCATAAAAGTGGTACATATGACTCATGCATTATATTCCATGTCTTTTGTAGTCATATAGTAGTTTTGTGCAACAAACAGACTGAAATTTAAGTTGAAATTCTTGTCATTAATGAGAAAAGTGGCTATGATTCATGCACTAATTGTTCTTTTGAGTCAAATCTCCACTTCTAGAATGATTTGTTGAAAATATTCTAAGGATATTCATATGGGTTCAAAATGTTGTGGGGGTCCGTAAATGACAGAAATGTAATTTTTTGGGTGAACTGCTCCTTTAATGTGGAGATGAATGTTTAGTGTGAGAGCACATGGTGAATTGTACTGACAGACCCTGAGGTACGTAGGACATGCCACATTTGTCCCTAGATGGGGAGAGAGTATGACGAGAGAGCAAAAAGCACAAGCACATGCTCTAGAAAATGGCAAGTTAAAAAAAGACACCAGATTCCCAGTATGGAGCTCATTATCGGGCAATCTTATAATTACAACGTATTACATCACCTTGTGTTATAATAAGAGATTTTAAAATGTGTATTCATATTCTTCTGTGTTTGAATATGACAAAACAGCACTGAATGCAGTTAAACAGCTTTTAAAAGGTGAATTTATGTGTTATGTTCCCATAATATAATAAATCCAAACTGCTGTTTAAAAACTTGGGGTCAGTATGATTTGACAAATGCGTTTGACAGTCTCTTATGCTCACCGAGGG